GAAACGACAAAAAGCTCAACTTCAAAGAAAAGAACAGCTCACAGCAATATGGTTACTCAACACTACTAATAAAAGCAATGCATATGGGTGCTCACTGATTTCTTATACATTTCCCAAAGTACTTGTACTTGATGAAAGAAATTTTAGCAACTGTTCCTCTCAACCACTCCAACTTATAAAACCTGACATGCATGGGGGAAGGGGGGGGGTCTCATCTGTTTTCTCATCCTCTTCAACTTATAATACATGACATGCATGTGGGGGGTGAAGATGAGATACCTCGATTGCTTTTTGCACAGCACTCTCCACTTCAAATTCCACAAATCCAAAACAAAACCCCTGTTGCTGACATAAANTCCCTGTTGCTGACTTAAATCAGTTTATTAATTAAAGAATTCGTAATTGCAAATGAGGAACTTATAGCAAAAGAATGCACATGCAGTTTTTTCTTTAATTAGCAGGAAAATAGCACAAACAGATACCCTGTTACTTCTGACTTGAATGCCTCCATTTTTGATAGGCCCAAACTTCTTGAACTCATCTCCAAGCAAGGCCACAGTCGCACTCATAGGCAAGCCTTTTATGTAGACTGAGTAGCCATCAGCTGCTGGAGGCAGTTTAATAAACACAAGAATGAGAAATCAACACAAATTATAGTGAAATATAATTTAAAATGCAACCAAAAAACTGGAAGCAAACTCTGCAGTTGCATACCTTCTCCTTCTGGGTCATTTATGTTATCAACACTATCTGAGCTGGAAACTGGGCCATCAGTTGCTGTTGTGGCTGGTTGATTCACTTGCTCAACCCTCTTTGCCATAGGCTTCCTAGGAGCAGGTGCTGGAGGAGGGGAGAAAGTAGCAGCGCTTTCCTTGAGATGCATGACCTGAAACAAATTGCAAATTGTCTAACTAAGAAAACTTCAATAGACCTTTTCCTTCCCCAAATCATCTTTGAAAACCAATAAGACTTAGCAAATGCTCTAGTCCGTCTTAACTATGTAAATATAGAGGTACTAATATTGCAAATTAACCCCTTGTAAGCATACACTAAGAAGAATATGCTTTCAGTTATTTGTTGCCCATGGCCACTTACAATTGAAGCATATGACTTCTTAGGAACTTCCCCAGTTTTGGTGTCAGATTCAACTACCACTTCAGAGCCATCTTGGACTTCATCAACAACCTCAGACACAGGCACTTCCTCTTCAACAATAGGCACATCACCATTCTCAGGTGGGTTGTAAACTTCTCCCACATCAGCTTCCTCCACTGGAGGTGTGCTTTGCTCAGGAATGTGATTCTCCTGTACTGGAGGTGGATCTGCAACAACTTCAAAACAAATACTTCGTCAGTTGCTAATTAGGGTATTGCCGAAAGAACCAATCATTTGTTTCAATTACTTTGCTGTGGCGTGACAGGAGCCTCAGCATCAGTTACTGGAACCTGGACTGCATCATGCTGACGGACATTCTCTACGTATCGAAACATATCATTCAAGACAAAGTACCCTCTATCTTGCGGTGCTAGGAAGAACGTTTGACAGAAATTTAAGATCAAGTTATCTTTCCCAGTTAAATATCCAGTCACAAGGACATGCACCCCGCCATTGAAGGATTCTTGGGCATCCACAGACTTAATCTCTGCTCTGAAGTCTCCATAGTTAAGTGAGAGTATCTTATCATTGATTGCCTGCGTTTGACATGAAATGACAGAACATGAGCAACTTCAGCAGTGATCATTCAAAAGAGAAAACAGCACAGATCAGCAGAAAGTAAAAAATCTATCTCCCTATTATACCTAAACATGAGCCTCTCAATGTTGACCAGTTTTAAATTCATTGAAAGGCAATTAGATCTTCTCCAAACCCAAAACCTGCATAACAAATTCAAGTATGCATCCACATCTCTACAGCTAATATTCTCCAAATCGTACGACTTTTTCGCTCTGTATTATTCTACAAAAACTAATGTACTTGATATAGAACATGCTCTCTCAACTAATACCATATTATTCTGATCTTTAACTTTTCAATATAAGTGCAAAGTCAAATTAAGGCATTTAGTTTGAAACAGAGGGATTAAAACCATTCTTTTCCTGAGCGATATGTGTATATTAATTAGATAAATGTGATTTTTACATGTGATCATCTAACACTAATTATGATTTAATACATTTCTTCGTAAAAAATGTGATCTTTAACTGCAGAAATAAAAATCAAAATTCGACAAAACTCGACTCCCTTGTTCCTCATCTAATCAATCAACTATCTCTCAATTCTTATAGAATTTTCCAAGCAGCCAATAAAAAATTAAGAAACCACAATCATAAAAAAGGGCAGCCCGGTGCACTAAGCTCCCGCTATGTGCGGGGTCCGGGGAAGGGCCGGACCACAAGGGTCTATTGTACGCAGCCTTACCCTGCATTTCTACAAGAGGCTGTTTCCACGGCTTAAACATGTGACCTCAAGATCACATGGCAGCACAATCATAAAGGAACAAAATATTTAGGCACATTGCTCGCGAATTCCTAAAACTAAATAAATATTGGGGGAAGGCGCTTACTTGCATTGTGGTAGTGATGCCCATGGAGCCATCATCTTCGGGGCGTCCAAGCTTGCTTATATCCTGATAAAACCTAAATACAAGCCCAGGCGAATGGTGCAATATATGATAGTATTGCTGCACAAATGCATTAGCCACCTATATACAAACAAAAATAAACTCAAATGACTGTCTAACTAGACAAAGAAATACAGAACTGAGCTGAGAAAAATCGGGAACTAATATCAATACGCACAACTTGAGCAGAAACTGGTTGTGCTGCCGCTGCTGTTGCTACTGCCGCCATCCTCAATAAAGGCCTAAATACAAAATTAACCAGAAAAAATAACAAAAATAAAAGCTCAAAAAGTCAAAACCCTAGGCTCGTATTTTTTTATTCACATATCTATTAGTACATCACATATAGAGACGAATATAAACACGAAAAAACATGAAATGTATTAAATTAACCAAAAAAATAACAAAAAATGCTCAAAACCTTAGGCTCGTGATCATTTATTCACATATCTCACCACATCACATATAAAAACGAATATAAACACGTCAAAAAATGAACTTTATTAAATACAATGGAGGTCATGTACGGAAAAAGAGTAAGATTAATTTGATGTACCTGGATTTGTATTAGATCAGGGAAATGTGAGAGAGATTTGCTGGTATAATCTCTGAGCTTCTCTCTCTCCGCCTTTCTCTCTCTCTCTCTCTCTCTAAGAAGCTTTGAGTTCTAGGGTTTTGCTGTAGAGAGAGTGGTGGATCTCGAAGAGGCGCGAGTAGAGAGAGAAAAAGGGGAAAGGAGAGAGAAAGGTTCCACCGATGAATTTATACGGGAATTGTGGTGACTCGTGAGAGATAGATAATTAAACTTACTAAATTCTGTTTTTTTCCCTCAAACTTAGTAGTAAATAAATTCTGTTAATTAATCATGGTTTAGTTGCAACTTCCAGAATCTTCCTTTAATACTTCTCCTGTTCGCTTTCTATTTTTGTTTGTTGCTTCCATTTTACGCACATATTATGCTAATTTCAAATTTCAATAACACGATTTCATTATTTCCCTCGTAAAAGAATTACGTCACTCGATATGACATTTGTAGTTTTCATATTTTTGCAAATACTTCATTGTACTATGCTAGTTCTCATTTTTTTGGTCGGCCATAAGACATATTTTAGTTGACCTTAAGCTAACAGTGGAACCAAAATTTTAATCAAGTGAAATCAAAGTATATAAAAGTAAATATATACTATTAAATCAAAGAAAATCAAAATATATTATATATGGCTATAAAAATATTTTTTATCTATTTATATAGTGTATTTTTGGGTTTTTTAATCTCAGATTTTCTCGAATTTTTCGGGTTTTTGAGTTTTTTCGAATTTTTTCCCATAAAGTCTTCGTGGCACAAAACGTAAAATTTGTGTTCCAAATATTTCTTTAATCCTAGTAAGACAGAACTATATAAAGTGTTTTTCAATAAAATAATATAAATATGAGATGAGTCATGACATTGTATTGAAATATTCAACAATAAAGATAATAAAATTGCATAAAAATATTATTAATAAGCCATAATGAAAAAATATATAATTTAAAATTACGACTAATAAGTACTATTATTTATATGACTAACCACTAAAAGAAATATTGTCGAGTTGGGTTGGTTTCGTTTTGACTTTTTTTAGTTAAAACCAAACCAAATCAAACCGAATCATAGTCGATTTTTTTTTCTCGGTTTGACTCGGATTATCGGGTGGTGCAATTTATCGGTTTCATTTGTACACCCATAACCGTAGCTAATGTTATACCTAAGAATTAAATAAATCCAATGGCATATATAAGTCATGCATATGTTGATATACTGTGTATTATCTGTGTGAATAAATTTCTTCTTTTTTCCCTTGCCATTTTAAAGTTTTCTACAATTCCTTTGTTTCCAAGAAAACTATGCCTTGACAATTCCTTTTTACCATTAAGTGTAACATAATCAAGAAAATCGTACTTAGTAATAACCTGTTTGGCCAAACATCTCTAAATGCAAAAGCATTTTTTTTTTTCAAAAGAAGTTTTTTTTTTTTTTAAGTTGAAGTGTTTGACCAAGCTTTTAGAAGAAAAACAGTATTTTTTAGTAGAAGTAGAAAAAAATAGCTTCTCTCCAAAAACACTTTTGAAAAAAATATACTTAAAAGCAATTTTTAAAGTCTACCCAAACACTAATTGCTGCTCGAAAATGCTTTTCAATTAATTAGCCAAATTGATTCTCACCAAAATTACTTTTGAGAAAAGCACATTTAAAAAAAAAAAAAAAAATTCAAAATAAGCTAATTTTTACGGCTTGGCCAAACAAGTTATAAATATATTATTATGCTTTAAATAGTAGTTTACACTTAAATTACTTTGCTACTGACCACTCGATTTCTTTTTTATTTGCTTGTACATTAATACCTTTTGGGTATAGTCCTAGCTAACGGCGAGCAAATTGGTTCTCAGGTCAATTTCAGAAATTCAATTTTTGGAAATAAGCATGCCATTGACAAGATTGAGAATGAAAATATAGAAAATACATAGATTTTTATCTGTTTATAACCCTCCACTTGCAACTATTTGGTAGTAACTCAAGTCATATTTGTGTTATCAACTTTTATTTTACATTTGTCGTCAACCAAAATAATATCATAAATACTTAAATAATATCGTAAATACTTCCTAGCACTCAGCATATTTTACGCCAAACCAATTAGTACGAACAAATGTCTTCTTTACACATCAACTACTCCAAATCCAACCATGTTTAAGTAATGAACATTACATTCTTAACTTAAATATAAACTCGATGCGGAAAATATAACCGTAATTAATTTATACCGTTTATTGTAATCCGTTAAGGTTAGGGATAGAAGAGAGCATACAATAACAAAGTCACCACCAAAGGATGTGGTGCAGTGAATGAGATTGTTCTTCCCTTAACCAAAGGTCTCGACTCTCGAGTTCGACCCCTGGGTTTGAAAAAATCCTTGTTAGGAAGCGCTGCCCCGAATAAGGCCCTACCCGGCGCGAATTCGGATATAGTCGGACTCAAATAGGGGTGTATACGGTCGAAATAGGTTTCGGCCTTAGCACGTCCGATCGAGTTCGAACGATGATCTATCGAAGTAAAACCCCGAAGGTGGAACAAACTAACCTCGAACCCGGGGAGGCCAATCCGTGTCGAGTTCGATATCATCATCAAAGCTCGAATCGAAATCGAACCATGATGCAGAGTAGATCTATCATGCTGATAATCCAGAGACCAATCAACATTGACCTCGAATCAATTCGAGGGCTCGAGCCAGGATCGGGCTCGAACCAAGATCACGAGTTCTAGCCAAAATTAAGCTCAAACCAAAATCGAGGGTTCTAAGCAAGATCGAGCTCGCAGACAAAAGCCGTTGCAATCCCACTAGAGAGAATCTTGGCAGAAATCATGGAAAAACTGAGTTATCATGGGTCTCTTATTGAATATTTATTTTATTATGCTTAGAATCAAATCCCTCCACTATAAGAGGGCTTGGTTACCATTTATGTAAAACAAGTTTTTTTCTCAGGCTTACATTATAATAAAAGTGCTATATTTTTCTACAGTAAAGAATTGTTCTTTCAAATTTTTTAGATTGATTCTATTTGTTGAATCCTAAGATTCATTGTTCCTGATAACCTTATCTATTTTGCATTCTTCGTAATCTATATTTATATTTCTATTTATCCTTACATTTTGTCTTAAGTTACGCCACATATCCTCGGAACTGCGTATAAATTCAACTCTATCGATTTTCGGGTAAATAGTTTGGCGCTCACCGTGGGGCCGAGGATAACAGTGGTTATTTGATACAAATCTGAAAAAATACGCCATTGTGCTTTGCACTTATTTCCGAAAACATCTTGAATTTCGAATCAGCTACGAATAACCACCAATCAAATAGCTTCGCCGATCAATTACGAAGCCGGCCTTCAAGATGAAACCAACAACTTGGCACCCGGGGCCGGAAGGCCAATTAATGATGGCACCGAGGCTCGAATCGAAGTACCTGAAATTCAAGCCGAAATACCATTGGATGTCAATTCACAAATAGCTTTGGAGGCTAATCAGCGTTCCGAACCGGAAAGAAGCATTCAGGGCGGTACTCGGTCCGTAGCCCGAGACACCCAAAACGCGGAAAAAATCGGGGCCAGCTTATATATGATCTTCGAGATGCTATAAGCCCAACAAGTAGCGATAGCTCAGCTACAGAGACAAACTCGTGCACAAAGCAGGCCGGATTCCAATCCACTCTGAGAACTCACCCCCAGAACAGAGCCCGTCATAGTGAAATCTAACGAGCAAGAATCGGGGACTACTCCCGGAATTACTAAATTGCTCGAGGAACTCACAAAATGAGTCGAAGCCAACGACAAGAGAGTGGAAACATACAATGCCAGGGTCGATCAAATCCTGGGGGCTCCACCAATGATAAAGGGGCTTGATTCGAAAAAATTCATACAAAAGCATTTTCCGTCGAGTGCGGCATCGAAGCCAATCCCCAAAAAATTCTGTATGCCCGAAATTCCTAAATATAACGGAACGACCGACCCTAACGAACATGTCACCTCTTACACATGTGCCATAAAAGGCAACGATTTGGAGGACGATGAGATCAAATCCGTGTTGTTGAAAAAGCTCGGGGAGACCCTCTTGAAGGGAGCGATGATCTGGTACCACAATTTACTGCCGAATTCCATCGATTCTTTTGCCATGTTAGCAGATTCGTTCGTAAAGGCGCATGCTGGTGCCATAAAGGTTGCAACAAGGAAATCAGACATCTTCAAAGTAAAGCAAAGGGAGAATGAAATGTGAGGGAATTCGTATCTCGGTTTCAAATGGAACGCATGGAATTACCCCTGGTCACGGATGATTGGGTCGTACAAGCTTTCACCCAAGGGTTGAACGAGCTAAGTTCGACATCATCACATCGGCTGAAACAAAATTTGATCGAGTATCTAGCGATAACTTGGGCAGATGTACACAACCGATACCAATCAAAAATTAGGGTCGAGGATGATCAGTTGGGAGCTCCGTACGGACCCGTTCATCAGAATAGGACAGTTACTAAAAACCAAAAGGAGACCGACAAAGAACAAAGGTCGAGCAGAGACCGATATCGACCGTACGTCGCAGATCGGGTGAACAACGGTTCACCATGCAATGCAGTTCGGAACAATCAAATGATTGATAGAGGACAAAATTCTCGGGGGCTTATGAGTAAGAGAGGCTTCGATAAATATGTTGATCCTATAGAAGCACCTCAATTATCAGAATATAACTTCAGCGTTGGTGCATCCGCTCTCGTATCAGCCATCGGACGCATTAAAGACACTAAATGGCCTCGACCCCTGCAGACCGATCCTGCCCGAAGAAATCCCAATCAGACGTGTGAATATCATGATACCCATGGCCACATAACGAAAGATTGCAAGCAACTAAGAGAGGAAATAGCTCACTTATTTAACAAAGGGCACCTTCATGAATTTCTGAGTGATAGGGCGAAGAACCATTTTAAAAGCAGGGATTTCAGCAAGCAAAACGAGCAAGAAGAACCGCAGCACGTCATCCATATGACCATCGGCGGCATCGATACCCCTCAGGGACCAGTGCTTAAACGCACTAAAACATCGATGGTGAGGGAAAAGCGATCTCGGACTCAAGATTACGCACCCATGTGGACTTTGTCCTTTGATGATTAAAATGCAGAGGGGGTCGCCCAACCTCATAACGACGCACTGGTAATATCCGTACTCATGAATAAAACTAAAATTAAGCGTGTGTTAATCGATCCAGG